ATATATATATATATGTATGCAAAATTAAAATATATTTAGTTCACGTTGGGTCTACTCGACCAGACTTGAACGAAACCTGAAAGAGGTTTAAATATTGGACCAATTATTGGATCGGGTCAGATTTTGGCAAACATTTAGATTCTTCAAATTATTAAACATAAAAAGAATGAAAATAATGGTATTAAGCATTATTAAATAAAACTGCACAACAATTAAATTAAATACTTAATGCAAAAATAGAAATCTTAACTTGCAATATTTATTAATTTAAAAATTATTTTGAGGAAGATAAAAATGAAAAAAAAAATCATTTTGATTAATCCTAAACTCTATGTATAATAATAATTAAATATTATTACTTTAATATTAAATAAAAATAGAAAGTACTTCTTAGATAGTGTTTGAGGTTGCAGTTATTTTCGCGTTCAGATCCTGGTCCGACAACTGAGAACTGGGATGCATGATTTTTTCTTTATGCAGAACATCCACAGAGAAAAAAATAAGCGCTAAATGCAGAAGCTTAACTCAGAAGAGAGCACAAACAAGGGAATGGTTGGTTATACAAAACATTTTCAATCATCTAATAGAGACTAGAAAACTTTTTGCCATAAACAGGGCATTTGAGCCCACTGAGTTTAGTCGAGCGAACTGAGCTGATCGAGCCATACTGACCGACATAATCAACCGAGCAGACCAAGTTCAATCGACCTAGCTAAGTTGGTTGAGCGAAAAAAAGATTAGATGATGAATTATCACTTATAAAATACGTAATAAACTCGGTGCAAAATCTAAGCCCAAAGGGGGATGGGGAGAGAGGATTTAATATCACTATTTCTAGTAAATACTATACATATTATATAAACAATTATTGTAGAATGATGACTAATTTTTTTAGTATTCATTTGAGAGAATGTAAATTCAATAATGAAATCATCTCTCCCTCTATATTCATTTTCATTCCTCTCTTACGCTTTATTCTTTGAAAGTGTGATTCAATATATTTTTTTTTTATTCACGAATATGTTGGGCCCAACTACTATGAATGAAAGTATAAAAAATTATAATTGAATGTGTAAATGCAAAAAAAAAAAAAAAATGTGTGATATATTTGTGTATACTAAAAAATAGTATACACGGATCTCAAGACAATTTGACCGTCTAACGCCTATGGACTAAAATGTTCATTGTTTTTCTCTTTAAAACATCGCCGGTAATGTAAATTTATATTTTTTTCCCCTCCTAGGGCTGTCGCATGTAATGGGGATTTTTTGGATTCCCTTTTGTGACATATTCTTTTTATGTTATAAAATGAGTTATAAAACCGGCCACTGAAACCCGATGATTCTCCCGACATAAAAACTCCATAATTATATATTCAACAGATGACGACAATTACTAGAACAAAGCTTAAGAAGCGCCTAGCATGAAGTATCATTAACGAATTATTTGTTCAAGTTTTATTTGATTTATAAATTTTATTGTTCTTATTATAATTCTCACTTTCAAATAACATAAAAATCGAAGAACTTAAAGTATATATTCAAAAATAATAGGCACGGATATCAAAATAATATTCAGGTCCAAAGTTCCTCCTTTTAAGCAGGACTAGTAACTTAATTTTATAATCATCCTCTTCTTCTCCTCTCTCTCTCTCTCTCTTCGCCTTTTTTTTTTTTTTTTTTTTTTTGGGTTGAACATTTTATTCCTCGAGAACTTCAAAATTAATTTATATTTTGATCAATTAAAAAATAATTATTTCAAATTACAGGGGCTTTTTTATTAACTTTGATTTAGTGAGAGAAACAGCATGCTTGCAGTAAGTGACAGGCTTAAGGACAGCAATCTTATCACTCAAATATAAAATAGAGTACGCCCGCTCTGAAACTAGTTATTTCTCGCATAATCCCTTTCTCTTATTACCTCGCCGTTAAAATGAACGACGACAGTCGACAGCCGCGCGTCGCCGGACTCCGGCCGCTGGAGTTACCTCTAGACCCGATGGAATTCCTAGCTCGCTCTTGGAGTGTCTCTGCTCTTGAAGCATCCAGAGCTGTTTCTCCTTCAGTTCCGCAGCCACCATTGGCTTCCAGCGGAATTATAACGGAGGAAGCTATTGGAGAGCATGAAGAGGAGGCAGCTCCGAATCTGGCAGCCATCGCCGGAAACCCCTTCTCCTTCGCCTCAGCTGCCACTTCGCAGCTTGTTCTAGAGCGAATAATGTCTCAGTCGGTAAGTGATTTAAACACTGAAACAGGGAAAGTTTTAATCTTCTTCTTCTATTTATTTTTGTGAGATTTTTCACTTAGCTTTAGTAAGTCTGTTGTTTTCTTGTTCTATGGTTCCCTTTACTTCATTATAGTCAATTCGGAAACAGAATGACAAGTAGGGGCTTCACTTGGAATGTTCGTTCTTCTGCTCAATTAATTTGCTTCCTATTTCTGGGCTTAGCACAGCCACCTATTTCCAAATACTGTAATTAGTTCACTTAACACTTGAAAAAAGCATTAGATTGTTTGAATTAGAGAATAGTGCTCATTCAAAAAATAAGATTCATGTATTATCTCAACTATTAATTACTCATTTGTACCGTACAATATCTAAATGAAACTTAATTAGGGTCTGGTTGAAGAATACATTGGTGTCTTCTCTCCTGGTTTTGCTGTCTTTTAGACTTATGATTAATTACATCTGAAAATGTTCTTCTCTTTCGCAGCAAGAAGTTTCCCCTCTGACCTCCGGCCGTCTCTCCCACAGCAGCGGCCCACTCAACGGCGGCCAGAGCGGCGGTTCACTCTCACAGCCCGCCGGTCTCCCCTTCCGATCGGGATGACGTCAAGGTATCACGTTGGCGACTTTCCTTCTTTTTCTCTCTTTGTTTCTTTATTCGCGATTCAGCAGAGCAACAGTAAACTCCGTTCTGAAAAAGTAAAGGAGCTCGTTTCGGGAAGGCGAAGCATGGAAGACAAAGCGACCAACTTGTCAGCCTTCGCCGTCGCTTTTTCCCCACAACCTCATCTCCTCTGCAAATCAAAGGGGGCGAGAGAGAGAGAAAGAGAAACCTTTCTCTCTTTTCGATAAAATAGCTGACGTATCGTTCGCAATATGCCATTTTTCTTCGTCAAGCTTTAACCTTTGGGTCATGAACTCTCCAAATAACACTCCGAATAACATTCCTATGCAAACATCATACCAGATTACCCCTATTCAAGTTCCCCTCTCTTAGACTCTTAAGATACGAGCAAAATTTATCCTAGAGTAAACGATGATATGAATTTTTCGGAAGCGGTGCAAGTCTTTGCGAATATTTTTTAATAAGAAAATCACATAAAAATACGATTAAGCTTTATTTTATTTATCGGAATCAGGACTGTAGAGGTACTTGATGCAGTCGCTGCTCACAGAGCTTCTCTCCTGGGACCGTTGGTCTTTCGGCGCGTGCTTTATTTGCTCCTATTTTTGGTTTTTTTCTTACTGAGATTCCCTGATTGGCCCCTCACTGTCCTAAAAGAATTAACAATGCTGCTCTCTGAAGATAATACGGACAAATAAAGGGTGAGATTTCTGGAAAATTAGTCTTATCTTGCTGGGGCAGGGTGTAATTTTGTCATTAAAAATTATCAACATGTAAGATTATTTTGTCGTCTTCCTCTGCCCCTTGCGTCTCTGGAAGCAGCTTTGCTTATTTTGCCAGTCTCTGTTGTAGAACTTACTTTTCCCTGAATGTCCCCATCCTTTCTTTATGTGGCCGTTTTGGTAAATTCTTAAAGTTATCTCTCTCCGCTCTCTACCCGTTTCCCAGTGTACCTACCCATCTTAACTTATATGCTGATATTTAATAATTTCTCTCTCTACACCGCACTTAAAATTTTCCTTATGGGCCGCATTTCAAGTAAATGATAACGCTCTGCTGTCATCCAAATATAAAAAATGAAAAAGATTGCATGATAAACTTGTATTATTCTGCGAATTTAATGCAAAATGGAGAACTTTATTAATAAAAGATTTCATATTTAGTAGCCGGGTTAGGCCATTTTGGCAGAATGATTGCGCTAAAAAAAGAATCATGAAGTTAAAATGTTCTTGGGCCAGCTAAATTTGAGTTACGTGTTTCATAAATTAATGGAGTAGTCTAATTCAGTGAGCCTGCTATTCCTCTTATTGAAGCGCGAAGCTGGAAGGGTTTTGAATCGCAGTAACAGTTGTAGAAAATTTAAAACTTGGAAAGGCGAATTCGTTGAATTCATAGTTTTTTTTATTATTAAAGTATTTTTAGGTTTTTTTTTAACGTTAAAAATATAGTAGAATTAGACGGAGCTCAATTCTCTTGCAGTACGCTCGAGCAATCAGCTCGGCGGCCAAGCCGCTGCACATGCGTCCGGCCTCTGCCGGCGGACGAACTGTCGGAAGATGGCTGAAGGATCGACGGGAGAAAAAGAAAGAAGAAGCTCGCGCACATAACGCGCAGCTGCACGCAGCGATTTCCGTCGCCGGAGTTGCGGCGGCGGTGGTTGGGGATTGAAGGGGCTTTATTAGCGTCTGATCGGCACGTGCGCGCTGCTCGCACGGATATGGCCATCGCTTCTGCTGCAACTCTTGTGGCTGCCCAATGTGTCGACGCGGCCGAAGCCATGGGTGCTGAACGCGACCAACTCTTAGGTGTGATTAGCTCCGCCGTCAACGTCCGCACCCCCGGCGACATCGTTACTTTGACGGCAGCCGCCGCAACTGGTAAGACCACTGAAAAAAAAATGACATTTTTTTTCATTTAGGACGTCCTGAAATTTAAGCGAATTCTTAAATTTTTTATGTTTTGAAGCTTTGAGGGCAGCGGCGACCCTCAGGGCGAGGACGCTGAGGGAGGCTTGGAACATAGCGGCTGTGATTCCGTTGGAGAAGGGAGGTGTTTGTTCTCCAATTGATCAGAATATCCGGGTTCAGAAGCAGCAGAAGAGCCCTACTGCTGGTCCTGTAACCATTACTTCTGGTTCGAGCAATGAACTTCCACCCACGGAAGGTCTCTTGGGGATTTATAGCCTGGAGTTTCTTGCCCGTGGAGCCGAGCTACTAAAACGTACCAGGAAAGGTGAATTTTCAACAGTTCCGGTGAATTTTTGTTGTGCATTCTGTTTTGATTCTCTAACTTTTTTTAAATTTTTTTATTTATTTCAGGTTCTCTTCACTGGAAGTTAGTTTCGGCTTATATCAATAGGATGAACCAGGTTTCCTCCTCTCTGCAAATTATGTAAATGTGTAAATTGTGTTTTTTGAGCTCATTTCATTGTTTTTCGGTTTCATACTCTGCAATTAGGTGATGCTGAAGATGAAGAGCAAGCACATTGCTGGGACTATAACCAAGAAGAAAAAAAGTAAGCATTCCAAGTTTAAAGCTTTTTCCTTGTCTTCAAAGTGAACTTAATTTTAGGCTGGGATGGAAAGTCAGGAAGATAGAATTGAGGATGAAATCATTACGAATCATTGTTTTGTCATTAAACTCATGTAATTCTGACTTATAAATCATCCAATAGGTAACCTATCAAATTTTGATTGTGTAATCACATCTATATTTTAAGGATTCTTAAACTTTCTTCTTTATGTTCTTTCCTAATTTCTAGTAAGACTACTATTTCCTATGTATATAAGAAAACTTTCTAACTTGGCTGAACTCTTATGCTTTAAATGTACAGGCGTGGTTGTAGAGGTGTGCAAGGAGGTGGCGGCATGGCCTGGCCGGCACCTCCTCGAAGGCGGCGGGCAGCACTGCTACTTTGGGTTGAGGACAGCGGAGGGCCGAGTTATAGAATTCGAGTGCAGGAGCCAGAGCGAGCATCAGATCTGGACTCAGGGTGTCGCTCGCCTCCTCGACATCTCTATTCAGGGGAGGCATTGAACTTCGCATAACAGCTAGCTAAAGATCTGTAGGAGAAGGATTAATGGCAGCCTGTGTTTTATGTTTCAGAAGTTTTGATGAGAACTGCTTGTTATATGTATCAGCACACATGGAATTGGGTTTGGTATAATATAACATGTAAGTAGTTTTTACTACTACTGCTTAAGAAGTTCTTTCATGGCATGATAAGTTGATTTGTTTCTTTGGACAAGTAAAAATGTTTTTATCTTAACTATAATTATAGGATTACTAGACTAAAACAATTGAGGGGGATATCCGATAAATGTGGAATCTTATGACTTACAATGCTTGGCTCTAGCTAAATGAGAAATGAAGAGAGGAAGATTTGCATACGCATGCCAAAACATTTTAATATTTACATTAATCACTTTTCCTATGCATTTACTTATATAAAAGTAATGGTAATAGGTAGCTTGGTGAAGTTTTTTTAGTTTTTTGGAAATTTAGGGGCCGTTGGAATTGTTATTATTTTATTATGTTTTCATTTAAAATTAAATGTTTCATAAATTAAATTAAAACAAGATTATTTTTTAAAATGGTTAAAACATGTAAGAGTTATTTTGAATGTTTTTAAAAGCAACTCATTGTGTTTCTTAAAGGGGTGCCATCTTTTCAAGGAAAAGATTAGTAAATGGAAGCATTAACTCATTGGGATTAGATATTAATCCTTTTGATATGACCAATCAAATATACTCCCAAAATCATTATACAAAGGTGGCTTTACTCATTCGGAGTGAATGATGTAGATAGCAAAATCCTATTTTCAACTTTTTAATTATAGGTATTAAAAAATTCATGAGATGCCAATTAATGAGTTTTTTTAATGAAAAATATCTTGGGAAGTGTGAAACTAATTGTATTTCAAAAGATTATTTCAATATTTAGGTAGGAGTTTTTCCTAGCAAGCTCATGTTGAACGCTAATAGTTATATTAGTCATGAATAATATCAACCTTTTTAGTTAATTCATATATTTTTTTCTTAAATTTAAAATATTACTCTAATAGTTTATTTTATGTTTTTGTTTTGCATTATAAGAAATTTATAAGCATATACACATATCCCCTATCGGGGCAACCTTCCTGTCGATACGCTCTACCGGCACTAATTCGACGACCTCAGCTTCCACACACAGGACATCTCTGGACTGATCCGTTTGAGTTAGTAGAATGAGCTCTCCAGTGATGACATTTTGTTGGGATGGAAATATATATTTAGTGCTTTGACTTAGAGAAGGAGAAACAAAACAGAACTGTTAGAAAGAGACGAAGGAAGCCAGAAGAAATATAAGTTCTAAGCTTATTTCAGTTAATGTCGATAATACATCCAAGCTATTACAAACAGGGCTGTGTAAATAGACCATACTTGTAAATAAGCCTATGGATAAACAAGTAGTTACACAACAGTGAATAAGCCTAATATAAATTCCTTTGTGGAGAGCAAGGAAACCTAACGAGCTAGGTTGAAGCTTGAGGAGGATGAAGACAAAAGGTCTCCGTTTAGCCCCCTTCAAGGTGATGATCGGAATCTGTGATCGTCAGCTTGGCGCTAAGATACCGATGGCTTGCGATGGATAGAGGTTTGGTAAGAATATATGCATGTTGATTTTTAGTCATGATGTGTTTGAGAATGATGGGCTTTAGCTTGAGATGATCACAAATGAAGAGATAATTCGCTTCAATATGCTTTGTCCTAGCATGAAAAATTGGATTATGAGCTAAAGCTAATGTCGACGTATTGACATTGAAGATTGTCAATAGGAGGTAATTTTTAATTCGTCATTTTCTATATAAGTTGGCGGGGCTAGAGGATTTCCATAGAAATGGTTGCTATGGCGCTGTATTTGGCTTCCGTAGAAGATCCAACGACAGTAGTTTGCCTTTTCGCTGACCAAGATAACAATTTGGTTTGATGCATACATAGTTACCTATATTAGATGTTCGGTTTTGGTGGTCGCTTGCCCAGTCAGCATTTGCAAAGACACTTAGACATAGGTCACCAAAGATTACAGATAGATCATGATGAAGTGTCTATTTTAAATACTTGAGAAGACATTTTATTTGTTGAAATGTGTGGTGGGGAGATTATACATAGGTTGACTATGATAATCAACAAAAAGTATGATATTTGGGAGAGTAACAGTTAAATACTTAAGAGATCTAATAATGTGTCTATATAGATTCAGATCCTTTATGGGTATGCTTGATTCAATAAATCTATATGACAAAGTAGACAGAGGAGTCAATACAAATTTTGCATTGTGCATGTTTATTTTATGTAGAAGTTCATTTAAATATTGTGTTTGGCGAAGAAAGTATCATTTGGGTATTTGTTTATTGTTCAGTCTAAGAAAATGAGACATGGAGCCCCAATGTTTTAAATTATAGTCAATACTCAATTTTGTAATTCGCTCAGTAATGTTTTGAATACAATTACATGTTATCATAATATCATCGACATACTCTAATAAATAAATACATAAATTACTGTGATAAAAAATCAACATAGAAAGATCTGCAGAACTTAAAGTAACGTTTTTGTTGTCATAGAATAGCGTCAAGTACCATTGACCCGGTGCTTATTTGAGACCATATATGGCTTGTCATAACTTAAATACATGGTGGGGGTAGTGAGTATTTGTAATTTCTGACAGTTGTTTCATATAGTAACTTCCCATGCAGGAAAGCCTTGGATGTGTCTAATTGTTGAAGAGTCCATTGTTTGTTGGCAATTATTACAATAAGTAATCTGATGGTGGGAAACTTTCACACGAGTTTGAAAGTCTCTTGGTAAACTGTCCCTTGTTGGTGTGAGAATCCTCATGCAACCAAATGAGCTTTGTGTCTTGTTATGGTTCAACCAGCATGACAATTTTAAATGGCTACTTACATCCTAAAATTGAGGTAGGAATGAGAAAATCTTGGGGGTATGTTATGGGTTTAACTGAATGTAATGGTGAAACTGGAGGCAAGTAGTTTCAATGAATATGACATGGCGTGAGAAAATAAATTTATTTTCTTGTGTGCAGCCCTTGTCTGGTGTACCGTAGCCCGCAAAGTTGCATTTGGGAGCTTTGAGAGAAAGTTTATGAGAGATATTGTAATGTTGCCAAGGGAAATAGAGGCAACCAAAGGTCCTCAAGTGTTGATATTAAGGTTGTTGTTATAAAATTTGAAACAATGATTGGTGTTTTGTATTACTAGAAAGTAGGTGGTTGATAAGATTGGTGATAGTGAGAACTACTTCTATCCAAAGATTTATGGGAAGGTTGGAGGAGTTTAGAAGAGTTATAGCTATTTCTATGATATGAAAGTTGTTTCCTTTCAACTATTCCGTTTGGCTCGGGGGTATAAGAACAACTAAATTGGTGTTGAATGCCATTGACTTGCATAAATATTTTGAGCTCATTTGATATATATTCTCCTCTGCCATTGGAGTGTAGATATTTTATATTTATGTGAAACTAGTTTTGTATCATTTTGTGCAAGTATATAAATTGAGAAGTGGTTTGAGATTTGTAACTTAAAGAAATGCAACCAACAGCAGCGAGAGAAAGCATCTATGAATATGACATAATATCTGTATCTTTCTATAGAATGGGAAAAAGGCCAACAAGTATCATAAAGTATCATTTCTAGTTTTCGATAATTATTAGTGCTATTATTTAAAGGTAATTTTTTACTTTTAATTTGGTAACAGTCAAACATTTCGAAATACATGAAGTAATATGGAGATAAGGATTAACATGTGAAGGAATAAACATAACTTTATTGTATGAATGTCCAACTTTTTGATGCTATGTGTTTGAGCTTATAGTAGATTGAAGAGTTATAGGATAGAGCCCTTGATGAGCAGGTCTTCTCGGTACTGGAATGCTAAATTTGAAACTTGTCAGCTTTAAAAACAACAGTGTAGTTATTGTCTTTAGATAATTTATGTATGAATATTACATTATGAGAAAGTTTGGAAACTCTAAATAGAGGTAACAGTTTTAACTTACGACCAAACTTTGTCCATTACTTACGACAACTTGTTATGAGCCCTTGTATGGCTGAAAAGATTGTAGATGCTACGTGTTGGGTGTGAGGTAAGATATAGCTTTGGTATCTAGTATCCAATCTTGCAGTTGGGTTGATACTTTTGTTGTTAATGCTGCCACAGGAGGAGTGTTGGGCAGTTTATATTGTAGATTTGTTCTGTATCAACATTGACTGGCCGAGTGGCCTTGCTTGTTGCATATTTGGATGTGTTGTTCTTTTGCATGTTTTTGTGTTGAATCTAACACCACAAACACAAATCAAAATCATCATTGTCATCATCCTCCTCCTCAAATTGATTAGAGACAGCGACAAGACACGCCGACGCCAACGCCTGTCTCCCGTTATTGAGCAGAAAATGAGCTTATTTTACTTTGTTAATTTAAAAGATTAAAAATGTATAGAAATATCAAACATATTTTTTTATTTTTTACTTTTAAAAATAAAAAAAAATTATAAAAAAGTATTAATTGTGTTTTCCTTTCTTGTTAAAATAAAGACAAAACAAACAAAATAAAAAATAAAACATGATTAATTTATTGTCATGTCCCCTTAATTTTATTATTATTATTATTATTATTATTATTATTATTATTATTATTATTTACCTGCCATGAAATGTAGGAGCATCTGTAATTAGTTTATAATAGAGATTATATGTTTTTCACGCTTGATAAACTTGAATCTCCTTGAAGGTTCTCAGAATTCTATACAAGTGTTCAATCAGATAATTTATCTTCATATTATAAATTCATTTATATCGAAATTATTTTTTTTCTCTTATTTATTATGGGGCATTGAATAAAAGAACAAGTAACATAATTTAAGAAATCATTGAATACAAAAAATTAAGAAAAATGTGCATATTTACAAAATTACATCTATGCTGTTTTTTTTTTTTTGGGTTAGTTTATTTTATTTTTGTGCAATCCCATAAAATATAAATTTTCGTACGGAAGACGTAGGTTGCGTACTCCAGGGAGGTTATTCAGAGGGTATTGAGGGGATTATATCTGTGTTATACTTATGTAACATCCCTGTAACCTACATGTAACTTCTAGTATGTAGGTTACATGTAGGTTACAGGGAGGCTATAGGGGTATAACACAAATATAACTCCCTATTAACATACACAGCACTGCGTAC